CCCAAGATAACAGGATCTCCTCTTTCCCCACTCTCCTAAACTCCTATGAATAAATAAATGATGTCAGGCTTTAATGCATGATGCCCAGGGGTATTTTAACCAGGTAAAGGGAGCTTTTTGTGAGTCAACAATGGAGGACAATCAAATCCTTCATATCTAAAACCTAGATACTTGCGGGCGAGACCCCGACGATGCGGGGCGGCCGGGCAGGGAGGGCGGCCCTGAGGGCAGCGCCCCAGCCCGCCTGTGAGCCCCTCTAGTCCCTCTCTCATCCGCGACCCCCACACCGTGTACTCCCGAGCCCGCCACGCACACAGCCATGGTGGGTCGGCTGAGCCTGCAGGATGTGCCCGAGCTCGTGGACACGAAGAAGAAGGGCGATGACGTCCTAGACAGGCCGGATTCCGGATTCGGGGCTGCCCCCCAGCCCCAGCCACTGGGGACTGGCTGTGGCCGGGGATGGCGGCGGCGGCGGGGAGCGCTCGCCGGTCCCCGGGACGTAGGAGCCAGATGCGGTGGTGACCCCAGCGGCCCCGAACCCAGCCTCTCTCCCCAACACCCTGGCTGTAAGCTCCTCACCAAAGCTGTGCCCCCTGTCCTTTGGCGAAGGTGTGGAGTTTGACTCCTTACAGAAGTAAGGTACACTTCCTCAGTCAAGTATGACTCGGAGCGACACTTCATTGATGATGTGCAGCTGCCACTGGGCCTGGCAGTGGCCTCCTGCAGCCAGACAGTCACCTGCATCCCCAATGGCACAGAGCGCAACTACATGGCTGAGGTGCGCTTTGAGCCCCGCCACAAGCCCACCCGCTTCCTAAGCACCACCATTGTCTACCCGAAGTACCCCAAGACCATCTACACCACCACCCTGGATTACAACTGCCACAAGATGCTGAGGAGGTTCCTGCCCAGCGTGGAGCTTGAGGCCACAGAGTTCCTGGGCAGCGATTGCCTCTCGGATGAATGCTGACTCAGAAGGAGGGCTTGGGGTTGAGCCACCTTCTCAGCTGACTTGGTCCCCAGACCACCCTGGGCAATTTGGGAGACATTCTAGCCCCAGAGTCAGACCTAGGGATACCTCTAAGCCCGGCCTGAGGAAAAAGTCACTGCATCTTGCAATTATTGAGATATTCGGTTTTGTTTTTTAATTTTCAAATTATCTTTAAAAGGGATATATTTCCTGGTTTGCTGCTTTAAAAGGAGTATATTTCCAGAGTTTCCCGAAAGTCTCGATTTGATGAAAAAATAAAAAGAAAACCAGAGCAAAAGAACAATGGCAACCGTTTGAACCAGGGAGGGCGGAGGACGGCTCTTCCTCCACTGTCAGTGTGTCTGAAAAAAAAAAAAAAAAGCTTGGAAAAGTCCCTGGGACAGAAAAAGTGAGTTTTAAGATCTTCCAGCCACAGGTGTCTTCCCAGCAGGGAAAAGTGTAGCTGTTTCAATAGGTTGTGATGCCCATATGTGTTCCATCTGGGGAGAGCTGAGTTTCATTCCATTCTTTATTTCCACTTCCATTTTTATTTCCTGTTAACCAAAACTTTTGGAATTCTCTTGATCATATTATATATATATATATATATATGTATATATCATATTATATATACATATATATATATATATATATACACACACACACACATATATATGTATATGTATGTATATATATATATACACACACACACACACATATATATATATATATATAAAATATGGAAAAACCCCAAACCAAAATAAGAGATGCCTTACAAAAAAAAAAAAAAAGAAAAGAAAAGAAAAAAAAAAAAAAACACTTCACTGCATTCTCTCCTGTTTCAGAAGGTCAGGTGAACAGATGGCCCAGTTTGGGGGCAGTGGCTTCTGTCTGGTTCCCTGCAGGTGGGTTGCAGGCACAGGCATTGGTGACATCCTTGCACACTTGGCGTCTGGTTCACATCTTGTATAACTCTCCCGATAGGTAATGTGGGATTTCAAAACTACTTTCCCATTTTTTCATAAAGGAAAATATAGCAGAGGGCACTTCTGAGAGAGATGGCATTTTAAAAGAATGCTTTGGAAAACATTTTTGGGACTCCAGGAGATGGAGGTTTCCACTCAGGACTGACACACCTAAGACCCACTGCCACCAGGAAGAGACAGATGTAGATGTTTCTAGTGATCCAGTTCATCATGACTATCTCGATGGACCCAAGCTTAGGATTTTGGTGGTGTCAAAATTGCAGAGAAATTGAGTCTAATGCAAAAAACGAGGAATCTTGCTTAACATCCTCTGAGGTTATGCTTTGGTGAATTTAGTGTAAGGAATCATGTCACAACTCAGACTTTACTGCCCGGCTACTGTAGCCAAAGTGGACATTTCTTTCCTGCCACTATATAAAGGGAAGTGACCACCATGGGGTTAAGTGTGAACTGAAGATGTTCCCAAAGCAACCTCAAGAGCTCAGCAGAGCCGCTGCAGCAGGGATGGTGCTGGGTGGGGCAGAGGTGGCACCAGGCTGCCCTTCCTCACTGGACTTTCACCACCACCCCACCACACCCAGCTCCAACCCGATTCTCCTGCCAGTCTCTGCAGGGCTGGAGTGTAGAAAGTGGCAGATGGACTCCCCCAACCCCACAATATTGAAAAAAGACAAACCATACATATTTCCTTTGAATACATCCAAATTATGTCAGGTGCCCCAGGGTTACAGCACTCTGTAAGCTCTGCCTCCTGCTGTATCTCCAGGTTTTTATGGATGGCATTCTTGTGTCCTAAAAGCAGAATTGAGAGCTCTCTGGGAACCCTGGAGCCCTGATTTTTGTTATGATGAAAGCAGGAGCCATGATAATTGCTCTCATTTAAAGGACAGGAGCCCTCTTAGAGCCATTGTTGAGGCTCATGAACATAAGCCTCTCTACTAAGGGAAGGTTCCCACTGGGGTTCCTAGAGGGCTCACTCTTGGCACTAGTGGGGTACCAGTAGTATTAAACCTGAAACTAATTCGATTGGGAGAAAATCTTGCATTTTGTGGCCAACCAGACATTCCCAGAGGTGTAGATAAATCAAGTCACCCACCAAAAACCAGTGGGGCTGGAACATGCCTTTTTTTTTTTTTTTTAGTTGTAGTTGTGTAGACACAATACCTTTATTTCACTTATTTATTTTTATGTGGTGCTGAGGCTCAAACCCAGGGTCTCACACGTGCGAGGCGAGCACTCTACTGCTAAGCCACAACCCCAGCCCATGGAACACACCTTTTATCCCAGATATTCAGAAGACTGAGGGAGAAGGATCCCGAATTGGAGAAAGCCTGGGCAATTTAGCAAGGCTCCATCTCAAAAAAATAAAAATTTTTAAAAATCTTTAAGTCACCCTCTAAAAAATATATGATAACATGTGTTCTAAAATACTTAATTGGGCTAGGGACATTAACTCAGATATAGAATGCAGGCTTAGCACACACAAGACCCTCAGTTCAATCCCCATCATCAACAATAACAAAAAAAAAAAAAAAACTTAATGGAATATCATGCAACTTTAGATCTCCTTTTTGCTGAGTGGAAGTTCACGTATGGAATTTTACAAGCCTAAATGTCATACCTATCTTTCCCAATTTTGCTACTAAAGCAATTTAAAAAGTGGCTGATATTACCATTGACACTGCCACAAAACACATTAAGGAAATTTTCAAACGAATAGAATGTGTGATGTGTTTACAAAAGCAGCTAACAGATGGTTTTCAGGCAACCTAAGTGGCAGATGGCAAAAATCCTGTTTTTTTCCAGGTTTCCTACCTTTTATGTCTATTGAGTCTCCTGATCACTACTAATTGCAATGATAGGCTAACAACACAATTGGATACTTCATTAAACCAGACCATTCTATACCAAACTATGGTATTCACCAACAACATAGGCCGAATACAACACTATAGATCAACTGGACTTGAATAGTGTCAAACTATATTTACACTGCCTGAAGTTTGATTAATTTTGATTATTTCAGTTTATAGAGGCTCTTGTTCAGAAGTACACTTCAATCTTTTGGGATTATTCTCCTGGTAGTCATCATAAAATCCCCTGGGGCACCGTATCTCCACTCAAACCTTAAATGTTTGTATGCAGTCATTCATTGAGTGTTGAATGATCTCACTTCAACTAGACCGGCAAGAACATAAAGAATTATGCAAGTGAAGTGACACTTTCACATGTGAATTCCATATTGAGACCAACTAAGTCTATTTATAACGGTGGCAGAGAATGGTGCCAAAGTCCAAAGTTTTAGTCAATCTCTCAAAATTGGGAGGACAACCAAAAGGGAGAAATCATTAAACTTAATTTGGCCTGATGAAGTCTCTTATTTGGACCTTTATATAACAAATTGAAAACATCATTTAGGAGTATATTCTCATAACAAATAGCTAAGTCTCAGCCAATACAGCAGACAGGCTTCAGTCAACCTGCAAGCAGTAAAATGTTTTAACCACGTTCAAACAGGCCAATGCTGAGCTATAACCAATAGGGCTATCTCTGTACCTCATTTCCATTTTCTATCCATTAATGCTTTTCAACTACACAGGAGACTGTAGTTCTCTGAACTCATCCTGGTGCTGAGAACTGTTAGATTCTAGAATCACAAACAAAAAACAATTAAGACTTTCAAAACTAGATTAGTTTTTAAAGAATTCCTAATATTTCATGTAATTTCTTGAGAGATTATTTTCTTAATATTAAAAAAGTAACAAAACAGAGCCCCAGATAATAAAGAAAAATTTTTATATTGTTTTGGGTCATGTTTTTGTTACTTTCAGTGTATAAATCTCTTGATTAAATGTCACTAAACAAATACACTGGCTGCTCATCAACAATAACATAACTGGATATTTTTAGTTGCCAGAAGCAAGGTGCTCCATCAGTATACAACGTTGGAACATGCCTGCCTCATGTTAAATGCATGTGCTTATCCTGTGTGGCTTTTCCAAAATAAATAAATACACAAACAAATTGACTGGATCATCCAAAAATTCAAAAACCCAATGTTCTGTATTTAGGCATTTCATTTGAGCAAAACATTTCAATTACAAAAAGCAAACTTAAAAAATAAAACATTACATACTTAAATTGTAATCTACAGAACAGATTACTTCTTCAAATATGCCATCAGAGTTTATAGACAAACGTAAAGAAATACAGTAAAATACTATATTTTAATTTTACCTTCATTACAAATTAAAATAAGGCATAAGAAAAACTTCAAAGCCACAATATTGTACATGTGAAAACTGACCATGGAAAAATGCAAATAATTCATAATATAGTCTAAGCTCTAATATATAAATCAGATTTAATTTCATCAGCTGTTTGTTATTAATCAGCCTAAATTTTATATTATATATTAAAATACTAAAAAGCTAAAAAAAAATCATTGCAATATAGATACAACGTGGGAAAATACATATTTGTAACTTTATACACAATCTAAATTAATCCATTCTATACAATAGTTTTCCAAAATATATATGGCACTTTACATGCAATAGAACATACCAGTTGGATGTCCTCATATAATTTAATATATAAGAAAATAAGAGAAAATACCCTTTTAACAGTACAGTTACATAGCAGATGTGGAATGTAGAATAAGATTTTGCCTTAACAAAATCTTAAATCAGATTAAAGAAATAGGGAAAAAAAAGTTTCTACTTCCAATTAACATTTTTAAAATGAAGTCTACTGTGATTTTTATATTCTCAAACTGTATCACAGAGAAAACATAAATGGGAAAAGAGAAAGAAAACAGAAAACTTGATCCTTTATAAATTTTAAGCATCAGCCCTGCCTATGGGTTGCATTTAGGCTGCTTTTCTGTTGACAGTTTTCTAAATTGATTCTGCCACTCTGAATTGTGCATCAGTAGTCAGATGGGTCTTCTGGACTCCATTATGCCATTGTGTAACCATAGCTGCCACAATGTAGTGCCACAAGAAGTCTGTCCTTGAGTATTTCTTTACTTGGATATTCAGGTAACTTGAGCATGTTGATGCTTTAAAATAAAAATATACTACCTTTAAACAGAGAATCCATGAAAATTCTCATTGTTTTATCTAGCAGTGAAAATACTACTCATAATTAACATAAAACCACTCTCAAATTTGCATTCAAATTGCAAAACCCTGAAGTAGCATTTAAAAAGAAAAAAAACTGCTGCACTGCAGTTTCTTTCAGCATGAAAATGTAGTAGAAGAAAATAAATTCCTTTTAGGGTAAAATAAACAAGGGTGGGCAATTTATAAGGGTGGGCAAGTGATAGTAATTCAGTGATACTTTTGACAACAGAATTTTAGTGATACTTGAACCATATTCAATCAAACATTAGGTAGTTAGGGTTTCCCAAAATATTTTCCCAACCAAAAAAAGGAAGGCAACAAAAGCTATGTAATGACTTATGTATATATGATTCCAAAATTCTGAACAGAGATCATAGTTGAGATTTTCCTTTCAATATATAACAGTTAGACCTCTGATCATTTAAAATTAACCAAAATAATGCACAATGCATTTAAACAAACTAACTTACCATGTGCTTGAAGTTGGTAAAAGATTTGGGGTATATGGCACAGCAGCAATTGTAAAGTTTTGCAATCCACTTCCACCCATGATATTAGCAAACCCACCATGCGGGACCCTGGAACTAAGAGTTTGTATCATAAGTTCTAATCATGAAAGAAAACATTTTTGTCCAACAGATATGTTTCAAGCTCTAAGTTAGAGTAAGAATATATTCAACTCTAGAACAATGAAAAGATAGCACGTTGAAAGAAATAAATAAGTAATAAATAAGAGATGCTCTTAGTCTGCAAAATTCCCAACTCATTCTTGCATTTGTGGCCAGTTACCCTTCCAAATTTCCATCAACTATATACTATACTTAAAAATGGTCACAGCACATACATCTACTATTTAAGTTAGCAAGGGGCATTTGTAGTTTGCTTTCTTGTTTGTGCCTCCCTACTAAACTGGGACTGATTTGATGGCTCAAACATGTCATATTTATATCTGTATCAATGGAGTTAGCAAAATGCCTGGCATCTGGGCTGGGTCTGGGGTTCAGCAGTAGTGTACTTGCCTGGCATGTGTGAGGCATTGGGTCCGATTCTCAGCAACACATATAAATAAATAAAATAAAGGTCTATCAACAACTAAAAAAATTTTTTTTTAAAAATGCCTGGCACCTAGTAGACATTAAATATTTGCTACATAAATAAATGTTTGATTGATTAATTTAAGCAACAAAGGCTCTTACATGTTGCAATCCAAATGGTTTCCCTCTTTGTGAAAAATATCTAGATCTAAAGTGTTTTCTGTTGTTTTCTTTTTACAGTAGAAAATTCTTTACATTTCTCTTTCTAGATAAACAGAATACCAAATGTATTTTTTAAAATTATTTTTTAGATGTTGATGAACCTTTATTTTATTAATTTATTTATATGTGGTGCTGAGAATTGAACCCAGTGCCTCAGACATGCTAGGCAAGCACTCTACCACTGAGTCACAACCCCAGACCCACCAAATGTATTTTTAAGATGTCATCTAATACGGGGCTGGGGTTGTAGCTCAATTGGTAGAACATTTGCCTTGCATGTGTAAGGCACTGGGTTCAATCCTCAGCACTACATTAAAAAAACAAGTAAATAAAATAAAGGTATTGTGTTTAAAAAAAAAAAAATGTCATCTAACAGAATGAGGCCACAGGAAAGCTAAAAGTTAATGCATAACACAAATTACTAGAAATTTTAATATTGGGTACATGCTGTAGAGCATTTAATTATAAGCTCTCAATTCCTACATATTTGAAAATAAATTAATATTTAAAATTAGTCTGTGTATATATCATGATTAAACAAACTGATCCTAGAAAAAACTTGGTTATTTTTAAAATAAGATGCTGTGAGATAGAGATGTAGCTCAATGGTAAAGTACTTGCCTAGCAGGCATGAGATCTCAGATTCAATCCCCAGAACCGCAAGCAAGAAATAAATAAGTAAATAAATAAATAAGAGATGCTTAATAAGATGCTTTTTGGATAATAAGAATTATGACAAGGAAGCATTTAAATAGGTAATACATGACTACAATTTGAAATATTTTTAACACAATTCACAGTATAAAGCATAATTCAGTCCACTTAAAAAAATGCTGAAACTCAAAATAGCCAAAACAATCTTGAAAAAGAACAAAGGTGGAGGCTTACACGTCCTGATTTCAAACTTATAAGTATAGTAATTAAAACAGTGCATGGTGGCATAAAGACAGCCATACAGACCAATGTAGTAGAATAGATAGCCCTGAACTAATCTCTTGCATTGATGGCCAAATCATTTTCAACAAAAATGCCAAGAACACTCAATGGGTAAAGAGCAATCTATTCAACAAAATACACTGGGGAAACTAGATTAAAGGAAGAAAAAAAAAAAGTTGGACTCTTGCCTTAAATCATATACAAAAATTAACCTAAAATGCACCAAAGACCTAAACACAAGAGCTACAACTGTGAAATCCTAGAAGAAAATATAGAAAATAACTTCAGGACATTGGATTTGGCAATGATTTTTTGGGTACGACACCAAAAGCACAGGCAACACAATAAAAAACAGATAAGCTGTACTTCATCAAAATTTTAAATTTTGTTCATTGAAGGACACTGTCAATACAATTAAAAGATTATCTACGAAATAGGAAAAATATTTAGAAATCAAAACTCTGATAAGGGACTGATTTCCAGAATATATATTTTAAAACTCCTACAATAACAAAATAGCATGATTTAAAAAAAAAAAAAATCAGCAAAGGACTGAACATTTTTTCAAAGATACACAAATGACCAATAAACACAAGAAAAGATGCTCAACATCACTAATCTCCAGGTAAATGCAAATCAAAACCACAATAAAATATCACTTTACACTCATTAAGACAATTATTAATACGAAAAGGATGGATGGATGGATGGATGGATGGATGGGAGGGAGGGATGGATGGATGGAGAGAGGAGGAAGGAAGAAAACAAAGGAGCCAGTGAGCCAGCCTGAGTAATCCCAGCTACTTCAGAGGATGAGGGAGTAGGACAGAAAGTTCAAGGCCAGCCTGGGCAATTTAGGGGAATTGTCTCAAAATTTTTAAAAAGAAATAAGGGTGTAAAGCACAGAAGTAAAGCACTTTTTAGCATGTATAAAGCCCTGAGTTCATTCCCAAAGAGGGCGAAAATGAGTTTTTAAATATGACTGTGGAATAATGGCAAAAATAAAAGGCAATTCATACCACACAAAATGTTATATATATGATAAGAAATTATAGCAAAATAAAAATGATCATACATTGTGTTGATTAAAAAAAATAGGTACTAAATCTCCTCATTCCAAATGTTAATACTGACACCTCCTTGAAAGGTAAATGAATCATATGTATTAATGTTATAAAAATTAACATCTTGCTTTCTTTTTTTTTTTCCCCCAGGTACTAGGAATTGAACCCAAGACCTTGCACATGCTAAGGCAATCACTCTTACCCCTGAGCTATACCCCTTGCCCCAAATACTCTTATATCCAAATATTTTCCTCCTAAGAACATATCCAATATAAATAATCAGAGTGGCCCATGAGGATATAAGCATTAGAATTCCTTATTTGTACAACATTATTTATAAATAGGAAATTTTAGAAATAAAGAATAAGCGAAATTAAGGGCGTTCAATAAAGAGGAGAGGTAGTCATTTGAGAAATTATATAGATCTATAAACAGAACAATTTTTAATAATCTACTCCTAAATTCAAAAAAATATAAATAAGAACAGTGGTTTTAAAAAGTAAAATATTATATATATGGAAATAATTCTAGAAAAATAACCAAAATGTTAATAATGGTAATCGTTACGGATTAAGATGGGAGGGGAATCTTTTTTATCTGAATTTTTTAACCTTTCTACATAGAAAATATAATTAATGTTTAATTCTTTTTATTAAATCACTCAAATCTCTTGAGTATCTTTTGGCACTCAGACACCAAATAAACCTGAAAACAAAGTTTTTTTCATACATTTAGCCTACAATCTGTTAAGTCATGTTTCATTTACTAATTAAAATTAGATTTATAGTATGACTCAACTATTTTTCTATTTATATAGTTAAAAGACTAGGAAAATAAAGCAAAATATTATTTGTAGTTATCTCTAGTGAGATTACTTAACAAAATTTTCTTTTTGTCTCCATTTTTTAAATTTTCTATACTGGTTATATGCTACTTTTAAAATAAGAAAATAATGGATTTTACAAAATTATATATGTTTTATATAGATACACATTGATGGTTGTTTTTTTAAATGTGCAGAAAGAGATAAACATCAAATTGTTTATAGTAGTTACTGCTGGTGAAGTAATTTTCTGTTTCCTAACTTTCAGAAGATCTACACATTTACTCATGCAAAAATTGAACCATGTTTTCATCAATAGAAGAAAACAGTACATTCAGGAATGGTGTGAATATACTTTGTATACAACCAGAGATATGAAAAATTGTGCTCTATACATGTAATATGAATTGTATTGCATTCTGCTGTCATATATAACAAACTAGAATAAAAAATTTTTTAAAAAACTGAAAATCCACTTATCCGATATTAAAGACATTTTATTTTCTAATGTCTATTATATTTAATTGACCCTATAAGTGAACTCTTCAAAGAAATATTTTATCACAAATTATTTTTTAGACCATGAATCTTAACATTGCAAAGTTTTGATAAGAATTTTCTTATTTGACAAAATTGCTATGCATATATAAATTTGACAAAATTGCTATGCATATATAAAATGTGCTTTGTGTGTCAATGTGTGTATTTATGATTTATCCAGGGTAAACTGAATATCCTTTGTACTAAACCAAGTCAGCAACATACAAATATTATAAATTTGGCTACTAACATTCACTTACCTGTAAAATGAAAAGACTACCAAATTATAAAATATACTTCAAAGATAAACAAATTATTCAGATGTAATAAGATTATTTAAGTATAATAAGTTATTGTTTAAAAGTCCTAGTTGGAACTGTCTTTTCAATGTGTTAAACATTTATCAAGTACTACTATAAATGTTTTATCTTTAATACCACATAAATCTTTATTTAATACCTAAAATAGTAAAAAAAGAGGTAAGATACCAACAGCTTTTTTTTTCTCTATGGTTATTTTCTATGGTTATTTTTATATTTCTCTATGGTTATTGTTCTAAGCCATTAGAAATAAAATACATTAAATTCTTTCTATGTCATCATAAAAACACTTCTTACCTGCCAGTAACAAACTGCAAAAGAAGAACTCTCTCCTCTTGAGTAATGTCTTCTACAACTTCCCAGAACCACTAACAACAAAAACTCATATTTCAGAATAAATATAGACTTAATACCAAAGAAATATGCAATATTCATAAAGCATATTTTATTCTATGAAACTCATTTATCAATAATGATTTCACACAAAGCTTTTATATGCAATATTCCCACAAGAAAAATTTAGGGGGAAACTTTACTTTGTTAATTAATGTAGGTTATCATCCAATAGTGCTGAAAAGCTTACAAAATTAAATGGCAAATTTAACTTCATTTTAAGCTCTAGAGAGATTTTTACCTGAATAACTGGATCTTCTCTTTCATAGCCACTTGTGTATTCTGTATTTTTTATCCAATCACTCACATCAATTTCTGGCATGCCAGAAAGCAGTAGCTCCTTTGGGGGAGAAGGAAAATATTTCATTAATCTTCTTTGGGAAATAAAAAGGTTATTACATTTAAATAGTAAATTTGCCTTCATTAGAAACTAATCCCATATAAAACTGATTTATTTTTGTGACAGTTTCTGCATGCCATCCATTACAAGCACTACATGGGAAAGAATCCCTGTACTGATCATTTCAAATATTATGACATGTGGAGATGTTATCACTTTAGTACAATTAAAATATAAAAAGAAAATGCTTATAAGTTTATACATAAACATACACAACAACAGTTTAAATATGCAACAATTTTATGAATATTACCTTTGATTTACTTTATTTTTATTTCATGATTTTTTTGCAAATATGTTAAATTCTATTAGAAGACCATATTCTCAAATGAAAGTGACAACAAAGTCCTGAAATAAATATAAGATTAAACAAAGAAAGCTCTTCAAAAAATCCTTATCACTAGGAAAAATGGGTAATATAATAAAAAGTAATTGTTTACAAAAAAAGAATTATTCCAGAATAGAGTCTTTTAAGAACTCTATTCTGGAATAATTCATATCAAAAGTCAACTTTCCCCAAGACAGTAAAAAAATAAAACTCTCCTTGCCGCAGTCTGGCTGGGCACAATCAGGAGCCACTTGTCAAAAGAAACTAACTTTATTTTTAGAACCACACACGACAAACAAAATAGTCTCTCAGGAAAAACCCTCAGAGCCTCAACTGCCACCACCGGCTTTCCCCAAGCCTCTCTCTCCCACACAAGCTTCTCTCCACCTCCCACAATCCTCCTGCTCTTGAGGCCGATTGGCTGGGTCACGTGGGCGGAGCCAAAAAAGTCCCCCAATGAGCAGCTCCGTGGTCTGAAAGGGCAGGGAAACAGTCCAATGAGCATCACCGCAGAGGAGCCAATCAGCTAGATGTTGCTGGGGCCGAGGAGCCAATCAGCTAGATGTTGCTGGGGCCGCTGTGAGCCAATCATCAGCCAGCAGCTGGAAGTTTGCTGGCAGCTGGAAGTTTGCTGGGGCCCCTTTGGCTGTGGCTCTCAACATCTCCCCCTCTCTGTTTAAACAACAAGCATGTGGCTTAGGGACCGTGCCTGTTAGGCAGTCCAATTCAACATATGGTCCTTACCCGTCATCGGATGAACTGACCTCTAGGCGTCAGCCTCCTGTCTTAGGTTGGTACCACTGCAATTGGATCATACCCGTCACTGACTACCGGTCCAGCATACAGCCATACTTGTGGCTAGGCCTTTGCACCTGTGGGGGGGTGAGGTTCTTTGCCTCACCTCTGTTGGCCCCCAAATTTTAGACCATCACTAGTAGAGGAGGATGCAAAATGCCATGACATTAAGCCAATTGAGGGCTCCTTTGAAAAATTGTACCACCGGTGACACCATCAGCAAAAATACTCCAGCACTACCACAATTCGCTGTACCAACAGATAGTTCACAATGCGTACAGGTGAGCTCACAATGTGTCCAGGCAAGTTCTGCAAGCAGTTCAGTGATGGCTATTGTAGAAGCTGTAGATTGGTTTTATCTTTCACTTCACCAGCACTGGGATGAAGATAGGAATTCTGGCAATAATGGCTAAAGAAAAAATTATGTAACATTCCAGAAGGCACTAAAAGAAAACAATTTTCTTAACAATTTACATTGTCTTCACCGGCACTGGGATGAAGATAGGAATTCTGGCAATAATGGCTAAAGAAAAAATTATGTAACACTACAGAAGGCACTAAAAGAAAACAATTTTCTTAACAATTTACATTATCTTTAAGAGAATTATTAAATATAATGAAAAGGAAAGGTGAAAGTAAACAAACAGATCTGTTAACCTTCTTTTTTGTTTACATATTAAAACAATCCTCAACAGTTGTTTACCCAATTTAAATTAAACCATATAAATCACGTGAGAAAAAATATTTGGATCCATTTTATCATGAGCGCTCATCATATATGATATATGGACATACGTACATTCAAACATATAACACAAAACACAAGTGTGCACACATAATATAATACATGCAACACATAACATTATAGTAAAGGCCTTATAACTTTTTACAGGTGAAATCTCCATTGCAATGTTTAAAAACTCTATAGTCAAAAAATAGAACTGATCAGCAAAACATTAACCTAGGTCTGTATGAGCTCAAAAAACAAAATAGAACTTCATGATATGGCAAAGGGCAATAATAAAATAGATATTGAAAAAAGCATCCTGGTTCTGTTGCAGATGTAAGAATAGCCAAACTGGAGTTTTGGATATCAGTTGTTATGGATTTGAGCCAAATCATCTTCTTTTTGGTCTGTAGAAATCGCTTTAGTTAATCTTTCTGGAATCCAAATCGGCTGCTGTTCTCCCTGTGGAAACACATAAACAGACCCCCGACTCCAGACAATCACTGGGTCAGGACCTTGGTTAATCTCTCTGGAATCCAAATCGGCTGCTGTTCTCCCTGTGGAAACACACAAACAGACCCCCGACTCCAGACAATTACTGGGTCAGGACCTTTCCATTGTCCTGTTAGAATATCCTTCCAAAGTACCTTGGGCTTATGCACATTTTTTGGACACATATGCCTTTCCGCAGCACTAAGTCCTGATGAATCCAAATTTAAAAAGTTTAGAGTAAAAAGGGTTATTTTAAGTTTATCTTTGGGGAATATATACCCCTTCCCAATTCCTTCTTTTTGCTTTAATAAGTACATTTTAATAGTTTGATGAGCTCTTTCAAGTATGCCTTGTCCCTGTGGATTGTATGGGATTCCTGTTATATGAGTAATGCCAAATGTTGAGCAAAATTGTTTAAAAGAGGTAGAAGTATAACCAGGGGCATTATCTGTTTTTAACTGTTTTGGAACACCCACAGTGGCAAAATTTTGTAAGCAATGAGCTATAACATCTTTAGTTTTTTCTCCGGCATGAAGGGAGCCCATCAAAAATCCAGAAGAAGTATCAACTGTAACATGCAAATATTTTAATTTTCCAAATTCTGGCAAGTGTGTGACGTCCATCTGCCAAATATGGTTAGGTATCAATCCTCTAGGATTGACTCCAAGATTAACTTGTGGTAAAAAGGTCACACAATTTTGACATTGTTTTATTATTTGTCTAGCTTGTTCCTTAGTTATTTTAAAACGCTTTTGTAAAGTATTAGCATTGACATGGAACTTTTTATGAAAATTTATAGCTTCTTCTAGTGTAGAGAAAATATGTATGTCATGTGTAGTTTTATCTGCTAAATCATTGCCCAAACTAAGGGCTCCAGGCAATCCTGTATGTGCCCTGATATGTCCTATAAAGAATGGATCTTTTCTGTCCCAGATTAGACTTTGTATAGTGGAAAGCAAAGAGAAAACAGTAGAAGAAGGGGAAATCCTACCAGCATCTTCAAGAGATACTATAGCATTAACTACATACTGACTATCAGAAAATAAATTAAATACAGAATCTTTAAACATCACAAAAGCTTGTAAAACTGCATTAAGCTCTACCTTTTGAGCTGATTGTTTGGGTACTAAAAATGTAAAAGTTTGATCAGGGGTAACTACTGCTGCTGTACCATTATTTGACCCATCAGTGAATATATTTGGAGCATTCATGATAGGTGTTTTTCTTGTCATTTTTGGAAAAATTACAGGATGCAATGACCAAAAAGACAATAAAGGATTAGATGGTAAGTGGTTATCAAATGAAACACTAGATTTGCACATGATTATTGCCCAAGTATTTAACTCATTAGCTAACTCATCAATTTGATTCATAGTATATGGAGTAATAATTTTATTGGGAGAAATTCCAAACACTCCCTTTGCTGCTTTTATTCCTTTGAGTATTAATTGTCCTACAGCCTCAGGATACCTAGTAAGAATAGTGTTAGGAGAATAAGATAAATGTATCCATAATAATGGACCTTCTTGCCAAAATACTCCTGTAGGAATATTTTTTGTTGGTAGTACAATAAATAATAAAGGCAAACTTATATCAATTCTATCCAAATGCATATTTTCCATATATGTTTCAATGATTTTTAATGCCTTTCTTGCTTCAGGCGTTAACATTCGGGGTGAATTTGGATCTGATGGACCTTTTAGGATATCAAATAAAGGTCCCAACTCTCCTGTTGGTATACCTAAATAAGGCCTTATCCAATTTATGTCTCCTAATAACTTTTGAAAGTCATTAAGTGATTTGAGTTGATCTACTCGTATTTGAATTTTTGGTGGATGGACCATGGTTGAGGATAATAGAACTCCTAAATAATTAATTGGAAAATTTAATTGTACTTTATCTATTGCTATCTCTAGATTATAATTTTTTAATAAGTTTGTAAGTGTGGCATAACATTCTAGCAATGTGTTTTTATCTTTGTGTGCTAATAATACATCATCCATATAGTGAAATATTTGTAGTTCAGGATTTTGATTTCTAAGTGGCTGGATTACTTTGTTAACATAAATTTGACACATAGTTGGGCTGTTAGCCATCCCTTGAGGGAGTACTTTCCATTCATATCTCTGATCAGGACCTTCATGATTCAGTGCAGGGATAGTAAATGCAAAACGTGGACTATCCTCAGGATGAATTGGAATTGAAAAAAAACAATCTTTAATATCTATAACTAAAACATACCAGGTTTTTGGCAAAGCAGACAACTGAGGAATCCCTGATTGAGCAGGTCCCATAATAACCATCTCATTATTAATGGCTCTTAAATCTTGCAATAATCTCCATTTACCAGATTTCTTTTTGATGACAAAAATGGGAGTATTATGGGGAGATACAGAAGGTTGTATATGTCCTTCCGCTAATTGTTGTTTGACCAGGTCATGGGCTGCTTGTATCTTTTCTTTAGTCAGGGGCCACTGAGGAACCCATACTGGTCTTTCTGATTTCCAAGTAATTTTGATTGTCTCAGTGGCCCTTTCTGAAAATCCAACCCATGTCTGTCTGTTCCTTGATCTATTTGTATTGGTGCTGCTATACCTT